AATTTGTGAAAAATAATTTTGATTATGGGGGTTATCTTATGTAACATTTACTGAATATGTGCAAAGTTACTATTGTTCTGACCTGATCCAATAAATGTAACCTATTGAATTTATGTGTTTAACATCTCTCACATACTCCTGTAAGTATTTTGTATGCATATGAGTGTCTGGATTTATTTTAAAGAGGATCCCAGGAGTCCGTGTGCATGATTGGAAATTTTAAAAAATTTTCCTCGAGGGCATCAGGTTAGGTGGTGCCGCGGCATTGAGTTCTCTATCTTTTATCCAAATTAATTCAAAAATGCAACGCTGGGGCGGCGCTGTGCTCTCTAGTATGGAGTAATGCAGTGCTGCAGGGTCGAGCAAAATGGCGCCATACCTGAATTTTATAAAATATTAAAAACTACCAAAATGTTATTTTATCAAAGTACAACTAGCTATAGAGAGAGAAAAATTGGGTTTTGGTGGCTGTAGTTTGTTTTCTAATGTTGATCATGTTTTGAAGGTTATCCAAATTAAGATAAGTTATATTTTGATCATCTTAGTTTTCAAAAATATGAATTTTTTGGGATTTTCATGATTTAAATTATAATTTTATACTATAGAAATGAGAAAAACTTACGCCAACTAAATTTTTTAAGTTATAAAGATAGTCATTTTGGATATTTAGATATTTTTTGGAAATTTTTGTTGGGTAATTTGGAAAGTGCTTCATTTTTATTATACTAGAAAATAATTTTGATTCAAGAAAATAATGTCATAGTACAATTAAAACTTCAAAACAGTGTTCTAAATAATCTCTAGTAATTTGGTACAATTTTAAAACTATGAAATTATGCTCAATAATTGAATATGTTGTCTACGATAAAACATTATGTGCATTTCTTAAAAATATTTATTTACATTTCTTTTACCATAATGCAATGATTTATATTCTTATCTACTTGAAATGTGTGTTTTTAGGGAGATATGATATTTGGTAAAAGTTCTGGTGTTGAAAGCATAGAGTCATAAAGGCCTGAATTTCTGAATATTTACATTTGAGAGTCATAATGACATGGTTTTTGATATCCAAACACAAGGGAGTCATAAGGGCTTGAATATATATATATATATATATATATATATATATATATATATTATGAGAGGTAGAATGGTATGAGGGAGTTCTGCTACTATCTACTATGATATTCTAAGTGCTTGATTGTTTATTTTTACTACACAGTTTGTTTTATTTCAATTATCTACAGTTAACAATATACTTAATGTGATAAATTTCTTATGAAATATATTAAAATGCAATTAAAAACATAATAAGTGAATTATTAAAATTTTAGATTAATTTGAGTGAAATATTGAGTTATATTGGCTCACGCCTACTATGTACTTTATTTTAGGTCCGAGAAAGGGAAGGAGCAGGTTGTGTAGTAGAGAATTCATGATCTAATTTGTTTGAATATGTAGAGGTATTTTTTTATTTTTTAGTGTAATCATGACTAGCTATTTGATTGCTCTGTGTTGGTATATAGCTATACATAGTAATGTAAATTTGTTGTATATCTATTTTAATAAATGGAATGAATAAAATTTTATGAATTAGTATTTACTTGTGCTTACTAGAAGTTAATTAGAAGTTTTGTTGCATGTTTTAATTTATAATTGAAAAAAAAAGTTAAATAAGTCCCCAAAATTTTGATCTTGGGTGCCCCATCTCCCTAGAGGTGATGTGATCGCCAATGAGCCTCTATACCGACGTCACCTACGACCCTCCTCCATCTAGTGTTAGCTCGATTCCAGCAACACAACTTGCCCCGCCACCCACTACAAGAAAATGCGCTATTATCAGCATATGGAATCCGCTGGTAACAAGCAAAATACACAGGAAATATCACCTTTACGGCGCAATTTCAACACAAATTTTTCCGACGATAGTTCCCGTGTCGGAAAGAAAACACCGGCGAATGTTTTTTGCCGGAAATATTTTCTGCGGTTCTTCCGGCAAAATGCCGGCAAAAAAAGAAGAGCATTCAATGCCTTTTTCGTTGTCGTATTATGGCGTAAAATACGTCGGTAATTCCGGCGGAAAAGATATGCCGGAAATACTGGCACATAATCCGCCAGCTAATAGACATCGTTATGTTACCAATGTACATTACCGTTGCAATTTCCACCGGAAGTAACGACACACATTTTCGCTGGAAATATCATTGTTTCGTATTACTCCAACCTTTTCACATATATGTTATTGTCATATCATGTCTATAATCAAGTATGCCCAATGCATTCTAACAATAACTGTTGCTAACCGGGTCAAATCTAGTACATCTACTTTCCTAATCGGGCCATCAAAGGGTGCCTTTTTATATGACTAAACCATCTAAGGTGACTCTATCTAATCTTATCTTCCACTAGAGCTACTCGAACCTTTTCATGTATATGATAATTTCATATCCTGTCTCTAAGAGTAAAGCCACTCATCCACCTGAGCATTATCATCTCTGGAACACTTAACTTAATATTATGCTTCTATTTTTATGTCTAACATTATGCATCATAAAGCATTGTAGGTATAACCACCACCTTATAAAATTTCTCCTTAAGTTTGAGGGGGGCTTTTATATCACACAATAAGCCTAATGCATTCCTCCACTTCAACCAACCAACTTGAATTCTACTAATAATGTCCCCATCTATTTCACCATAACTCTTAATAACGTGTATTTTTATTAATGACTTGATCATCCAAAATCACAATCCCCTCATTAAAACTATTTTTTATAAAAATTACACTCAAAATATTTAATTTTAAATCTACTCAAATGAAAGACCTTAGACTCTAAGGTTGACCTACATAATTCAAGTTTACCTTCAACTCCCTCTCTACTTTCTGTAAATTACACTCTATAATGCATACACCAATATACCTTCTCTTGCAAATGTATAGTAAGAACATTCAAATACCAATATACCTTCCCTAACCGGTGGCGTTAGGGGTTGCTTTTGGCAAAACTCAGCGAGGGTTCGGTCGAGGCAGCTCTTGGACGCAACGAAGAAGTGCTCACCGGTTGGTCGACGGGGCAGCTCGTGGACTTGACCGAAGAGATGGCGATTTTGAGGTGTTTGGGACTTGAGCGAGGATAGGGCGATAACGCGACGTCGGTGAAGCTCTTGGACGCGCAGTAGTTCTTCGACGCGAGAGAGAAAGAAATGAGAAATCGTTCGGCGGATTCACCAAAATAGGACTTTACCGGCGCATTTTCCGGCATATTATCTGCAGGTAGTGTAACTAACAGATAATACACAGGTAATGATTCGTCGATTTTAAGTAAGCCGACACAAATTTGCGCCTGTAATTCCGCCGGTCATTACTGGCGAAATATGCGTCGGACACCTAAGAAATGTCGGCGGAATGTGCGCCAATATTTCTGCGGCGGATGTTTCGTTGGATAATGAGCCGTTAAATTATCGGCGCATATTCCGCTGGTACGTGTGCCGGCGTTACCAGTGTAAAACAGTCCGCCGAAAAGTCCGACTGTAATGACACATTTTCCTGTAGTGACCATACAATCTCTTTCCTCCACTGACCTCATCCCCAACCTCACCCTCCACCGCCTCATCCACCTCTGGTCCTCCTACACCTCCTGTTCCCATCAATATTAATGTTATCTTATGACAAACCTATTTTAATAATCTACTTCATTATAACAAACAAGATCATACACCATCACATTAATATTCTTGTTCCTCCATCTTATATGGAAGCTACTCATCCTTAACATCTTAATAATGCCACCTATCATCCTCTCATTATAAGCACACATGCTTATATGTATATATTCAAACAGAATCAAATTATTATAAAGTCAAACATGACCAAAGGAGTCATTATTCATAGTTGGCTTGAATTCATAAAAAAATGTCAAAAGTCAAGATAATTATTGAGTTGAACAAGATAAAATATCTGATAAAATTTTTATTTTCAATTAAATTACAAGTTATATTATATAAATTACATGACAGTTTTATAGAAAATCAAACCAACTTTTTATTCAATAAGAAAACCTTAACAAAATTTTATACTCCAAAATAAAATTTAAAATTTTGTATTTTATAGAGATATATTTGTTTAATTCTATTTTACAGTGAATTTACATCCAAATCATATATTCTTATATATTTGTACATTTAATATATATAAATTATATGCATAATATCTTCAAGCCATATTAAAAATATACCAATATCAATTCACTTATAGTGAAATTAGTCTTATTATATATAAATTTTGATGGGAATTAAAAAACTGTTTTTTTTAATTTATGTATTAATATATAAATAAATAAAAAATTAATGGTATGCATATAAATTATAAATGCCCTTCTTTTATATCAAGAGCCTCAATATATAGTTTTACATGCCCAATTATTTAAAATCAATATGTAAATAAATTATAAATCATTCTATAAATTCATATTTATACGCAATAAAATATGATGCTTCGACCTCCGCTCATCTTTTTGATTAGTTGAAAGTTTTGACTATCAACTAAAAAATATTAAGTTTAAGTTTTTCATATATGATATGTATCTGAGTTTATTTTAATTGATCTAAATATTTTTTAAAAAAACTTTTTTAATTAAATATCTATTGGGTTTTAATTCAAGTATTGCTATTTGCATGTACTTATGTTAAGAAAGGTAGGGGTAGACCTAAAAAGACTTGGTTAGAATATATTAGGAATGGCCTTTCTTTATTAGGTTTAAATGAGAATTTGACTTTTAATAGAACACAATGGAGAAAAAGGATTCATGTAGCCGACCCCACGTAGTGGGATAAAGGCTTGATGTTGTTGTTGTTGTTGTTGTTGTATCATTCTATAAATTTTAATATTTTATTTTATGTATTCATATTTTATTTATAGATGATAAATATATAATATTAATTTTAAATATTAAATATATATAAATAATATGAAATAAAATAATACCTATATAAATGCGGAAATCACCCATATTTTTTTAATATTATCACACGCATACATACAAACCTGCGCTCACTTCTAAAAACACACTCCCGCATTTTGCCCTTTTGACTCTTATTTGTTTGTTTTTTTTCCGACTGTTAACCCTCCCGTCCTCCACTTCAAAAGCTTCTCCACCACAGCTTAATACGAGCAAGAAACGAAGAACAGAGAGAGATTCGCAGTCCTGATCTACAATGAGGAACCGCAATCGATTAGATAACAACAGCAGCGAACAAGCGAGAGGAAGTCCTCACCTTCTCCGCCTCGACGTGAGCAAAGCGGCGCCGCCACCGAGTTTTTTCCGATGCCCCATCTCCCTAGAGGTGATGCTATCGCCGGTGAGCCTCTGTACCGGCGTCACCTATGACCGCTCCTCTATCCAACGCTGGCTCGACGCCGGCAACACAACTTGCCCCGCCACCATGCAGTCTCTTTCCTCCACTGAGCTCGTCCCCAACCTCACCCTCCGCCGCCTAATCCACCTCTGGTCCTCCTCCTACACCTCCTCTTCCCATCAATATATTCCATCGTCTCTCTCTGAACTCGCCCGCATGCTTTCGGATCCCACGGCCGACGAAGACTACAAGCTACGTCTCCTTTCCTCTGACGCCCTCCGTCCCTCCGCCCTCGCTTCCCTGTTCCTCGCCCCTGAAACCCTCGATATCGGCGTAACCCTTGTCTCCCTTCTCCTCTCCCTCGATCTCGTCGACGCGGAGCGCAAACGAGAGTTGGTCGCCGCTCTGTTGTCAGATCTCGACGCAACGGTAGCCGGCCTTGTTGCCGTTTTCAAGGGCGCCGAGTATTCGTCTTCTCGGGTGGCCGCCGCTAGAGTATTGGAAATGTTGATTGCGGAGGAGAGGACGGCTATGGCGGGGAAGCCTGTTATGGTGACGGAGCTGGTTAGGTTAATTGGGGAATCCGATGGTGAAGCTGTGGATGCGGGACTGCGATGCTTGACGAGACTTGTTGGAGCGGGAAGGAGGATGAGGGCGGAGATGGTGAGAATGGGGGTAATACCTGCACTGACGAATGTGATGGAGAGAGAGGAGGTTCAGATCCCGGCCGCGGCGGTAGAAAACGCGATGCGGGTTATGGTAGCGGCGGTGGGGATTGGGGAGGGGAGGGCCGCGTTCTGCGCAGAGGCGGAGAGGAACGTCGCGGCGGTGGTGGGGAGGATGATTAAGGTAGGGAATGAAGGAAGGGAGGCTGCTGTGGGGGTTCTATGGAGAGTTTGCTGCTGCGGCGGCGGGGATCGGCGGGCAAGGAAGGCGGCGGCTGTGGCAAAGGGAGGATTGGGGAAGATATTGGTGGTGATGCAGGGGGATTGCTCGCCGTTGGTGAGGAGGATGGCCGTCGATTTGCTTAGGGTTTTCCGTGCGACTTCGAAGAGCTCGATGACGGCTGCGGGATATGATTCCATGACGATACACATTACGCCGTATTGAAACAATTGGGGAAGGTTTGCAAATATGTTCCAAATAAAAAGCAAATGAAGTAATTGGAATTTGTTTTATCATTGTAAATGTTTTTAGATGAAGAACGCATCAAATGAAATGAAATTTGAATTCGTGCAGTACGTTTATGAAATTCTTCCTTCATAGAAGAGAGACTAATATAGATAATTGCTCATTTTTGTGATTATGAATAGTAAAAGTACAGAGCTGATTAAGGGTGTCAAGGTCAACGGGTTGGGTTCGGGTTGAACTTGGAACTGACTCGGCACTATTTGGGTCAACCCGAACCAGACCCGTTTTTAAAAACGAGTAAGATTTCCGGTCCCGAACCCAACCCGATTCGGGTCTGGGTCAACCCGACCAGATTCGGGTACAGGTCAACCAGACTCGACACTATTGACCCGAAGTTGACCTAAAATTGCTAATTTTCGGGTCAAAATTCGGGTCAATCTTCAATTTTCGAGTCAAAATCGGGTAAAATAGGAGTTTTCGTGTCCATTTCGGTTCATTTTCGGGTCAATTTTGGTTAGCTGGGTCAACTCGAACCCGTCCCGATTTTTAAAGTGGGTTGATTTGTTGAACTCGAACCCGACCCGTTTCGGGTCCGGGTTGACCCTAACCCGGATTTTTCTGGGTCAGGTTCGGGTCGTGTCAAAAATTGACACCCCTAGAGGTGAATAGTAAAAGTGCAGTGGTCAACAATAATTGTGCTTTTACTGTTCACAAAATCGAAGAGTTCTCTATGTCCAGACTCTGCACGTAATAATCTCTCTATAAAAGAAAGCGCAAACATAGTTTATCCTTTGTCAGGCTTAGTTGTGAGGTGGAAGCAAAACATTTTTCTTCCTTTAGAGAAAAGAATAGCAGTTCTCTTTTCCTTTGGGAAGAGCATTGATGTTGACTTGCCTAGGTCAACCGGGAAGGTTATGTCGTGCATCCATGTCTGCAGTATTGTAGGCAATTTCATCTCGACAAAACTTACCAATAAGAGGTGAAATTCAACACACATTAATATTCTTCATTGTTCAATATTTTTGTTCATTGTATTTTATGCTGTTGATTAAATGATTCAAGAAATTATAATAGAAATTTATTATAAAAGTTGTTACTAAAAAATAAATTTACTTGTTTGGTAACATTTATGATACTATGCTTTATATGAAAAAGAAGTTATTTTATTTAATAAATACTATTATTTTAGTATTATATTTGTATTGGATGATATTCTTATTTTTGTTATTTAACAAAAAAACTTATGAATTTAATTCAAAAATAAAGTGGATTAACTTTAGCATTAATATTTTTGGAAAATATTTGACCACAACGACGATTACAATAATATCAACTCTTTATCACACTACCTGAGATATGTTATATGACTTTTTTATTGTATTTTATTAAGAGTTAAATTTTCATTTAAATCTAATAAAAAAATCATTTCTAATACTTTCTAATCAAATCTTTTTAGATTTGCCTCTACCTTTCTTAATATAAATTATATATAATATATCTACTCTACAAACCGGGTCATAGAAAGACTAATGTTTTATGTGATCAAACCATTTTTCTCTAATCTTATTCCTACCAGAGCTACTCCAATCTTTTTACATACATACTCATTTGATTTTCTATATTAAAAACTTTTTACTACAATATTTGACAAATTAGGAAAAAAATAAATAAATCACATTTGTTATATATTATATTCATATGATAATAAATTTAATAACTATAAAAATCATCATGATCAAATTGGAAGTGATCCTAAAAGATATTGTTCAAACAACTTTATAACTACTTTTTAATAGTACTATTTCCTACTTATCAGCAATTTTATTTGAATTGTATTGAGTGTAAAGTATTTCAATTATAGGAGTTTTAGAAATATAGCTATTCAAAGTAATAAAATTTAATGAGTTTAAAATCCAACCCTTACATTATTTTTACTATATCCCGAAATTAGCAGACTTGGTTGTTTATCAGATATACCGCAAGCTGTCTTCATTGTCACCCATGGTGGCTATCGCCAGCTGTCGCCACTTCCCATATGTTGTCACCACGTGCCATCGGGTGCCGTCAACATATCTATTATCATAAATAGTTATTGTTTTATGTTTTAGGTAGTTTTATATTTTAGGCAGAAATAATTTGACTTCATAAATTTTCTAGCAAGCAATAATCATCATTATCTTTTAATATTCACATAAATGTAAAAAATTGTCACAAATATGTTAAAAAATTGATATAAAAAAGGAGATTTACATACATACCACTCTATACTATTCTATTCACATATTTAACACCTAAAACTTTAATATTACGTATATACCACCCATAGTTCATTTTTATATCAAACTTGAGTGATAGAAATGAAATATATGAGTGGTAGGAAGGAAATATGAGTGGCATATTTAATATTAAAATAGTATATGGTGGTATGTATGTAATATTAAAGTTTTTAGGTGTTAGATATGCAAATATGATATTATAAAATGGTATGTATATAAATTTCCCTATAAAAAAATAAAAGCAAATATTTTTAAGTGAATGCAAGCTAATCATGCAATAAGCCAAAAATAATAATAATAATATTAATGTAATCTGCCAGCCTGTTATATTTTAATTGCAGCATGTAATCTTTAGTATATACGTGACGTACTACCCAAGATTGCCTTACAGTTATCGTGCAATAGATTATGAATTGTAATAAATAGTCTGTAATAAGATAATCTGCGCTGCACGTGTGAAGCAAATCCACAGATTTATAAAATAATATGGGATTAACTGAACAATTAATACATCAAGCTCAAAATTTGTCTGTTTGAGGAACCAAACAAACATATTTAGTGTTATGCAGACGCTGCAGAAATTTTTGGAGGGATTTGGATTCAGGATTCAGAAACTGTTGATGAGTAGGACAATTTAAATGAGTGAGGAAGGAGAGAACAAAAACCAGTAAATTTGACTGAGAAAGCTGATGTTGGTTCTGCTGCTATTAATTAGAGCAGAGTTGACTTATGGTAGTAAAATTGTGAAAATAAAAAATATAAGATCACATATTTGTGAAATTCCTTAAAACATTAAATAAAATTTTAAATAATATAATGGCTAAAATTTTATTAGAAATTTGTAAATTTAACATGCTTGTATAAGAGCAATTTTAGGATGAATGACCTCCTAAGAAGTTATATCAGGGGTGTTGCGTCCTGGAGTATTCGCCGCGGTAGAGAAAAATAAAGTTTAGTGTCTTAGCGTTGTATGAAAATCTGGCACACAATCAGATAAGAGAGAGGGTTTAACATTTATGAGACCAGGATTTTTATGTGGAAAACTCCTAAAAAGGGGGAAAAACCAGGGGGCCTAGCTAATTTGAATGAATCCACTAGTATTTGGAGTTGATTACAAATGAGACCCTTCTTTAGGGGGAAGACCTTGGCTTGATGTACATCTTATAAAGTACATTACATGGTGGGAATATAAAGAACCACAGTTGATGTGTTTGTTTGGTCGGACGAAGGACTGTAGTCGGTGGGCGACGTAAGCCGGAAGGACCGTAGTCGGTGGGCGACATAAGTCAGAAGGACCATAGTCGGCAGGCGACGGAGGTCGGAAGGACTGTAGTCGGTGGGCGACGTAAGTAAGAAGGGCAACGTAAGTCAGAAGGATCGTAGTAGACGGGCGACGGAGATCAGAAGGACCGTTGTCTAACAACGGAGGTCAGAAGGACAACGTCATATATAAGTCTAGCAACAGGCAGAAATGCAGCATCGAATAGATGCCTGGCAAAAGTCTGACAACGAGCAGAAGTCCGAGGTCAGGTGGAAATCTGACGATGAATATAGGTCCGGTGTCGGGTAAAAGTTTGAAGTCAGTCAGCAGCCGAGGAGAACTCCGGCATTAGATGCTATTCAGACAAAACTCCAGAGCCACTTGGAGATCGGGCAGAGTTTTGACATTACTTGGAAGTCGGAAAGAACTCCGGCGTCACTTGAAAGTCGGGCGGAACTCCGACGGTGGTCGAGGAGGAGTTTCTTTCCTCCTCTTCTTCTCTTATCTTCTTATTCTTCTTCCTTGGGGCCCCTCTCAAGAGAAGTGAGAGGTCTATTTATAGTTTTCTGAGAGTGGCATGACCCGTAAATAGGGGGAGGATCAAGGGCAAATGTGGAGTGGTTTGGATGGACAACCGATATTGAATCCCTTGATTGTGGATCGTTTGTGAGACATTTGAAGGTCTTAATGATATTAGAATTCGGCGATCTTAGGCTCGTTGGATTCGTCTCGTCTAGCCGCTCGATTTGACTATAAGCACGTCACATTTGGAAATTTTTTGGCAATCCAAATTATGGTTTGAACCTTCCAAATGTGCTTCGAGTCTTCGATTTGGACCCATTTGGGCTCGGATCGAGTTGAATTTTGTGTCGTTGAGTTCGTATTTCCAAGACATTCAGTTTGACTATAATTTTGTTGAAATTAGAGTTTAGATGATCCCATATTTAATTTTTGAAGTTTCTATTTGATTTTTGCCTCGAGATTCGTGTTCGGTCAAGGTAATTTTTTCGTGATATATCAAGGAGAATAAAACCGTGAGACTATTAGGTCAAAGAGAAAAGCGAACAATATCTTGATTATTGAGAGTTTGAGCTTTTACCAATAACATCCGAGTAGTGCATCAACCGGAAAATGAGAACTCAACAGCTAGAATTCTATTTTCCAGGTGGATGATTCTAAGTTAAGGGCACTGACGATGATATTAGTTATCTAAATGGAGGAGGTTATAAAATTCCTTATGAATATGAAAATATTATTTTAATCATCGAGGAACCTTCTAATGCAACGATTGGAATTTCATTAGAAATGCTAAGGTTAAGCATTCTCATATTGGAGCACTTCTAGGGTAGGTGGCATATTAGTGGTGGTCTATTTTAATGCATTTGTTGTGAATAGAACATCGGGTTCTTAGCTAGCTAGTTCAGTTGCTCAAATTTTGTCATTGAAGAGAGTGTGGACATGAATACTGAGTTCTTGTAAGAGAAGCTAGAGCTAGATGATATTAGTTGCAGTTGCAGTTAAGGCTTATATTCTGCCTTAGTTGATGAATTAGCTACAATGAATTGCTTTTCAATGTACCAGGAATTTAAGGGTCTAACTAAGAATACACAATAGCCTATAATTGATTTGCAATCTTGACGATAGCTTGTTCAATCAAAATTTAATAATGTTCATAGTGAATGGGTGCATTGATAGATTCGTAGGCCCTTGTGTGATATTGAGATATTGAAGGGAGTCAGTAAGATGCTCATAGAGGTTGGGTTGAGGAAATTTAGATTATGATTTCATTTGAGATAGTTTTTTTATTACTTCTTGAAATAATTTTTTAGTATAAAACTTAAGATTGTTATACTAGAAAGCTCATTCAAAAGCAGCAAATAAGCGGTTCCAAACAAAGGCTTTGTTTGAGGCAACTCTAACTTTTTATAAAGTAGATTTTTTTTTTGGTTAAAACCCACCTAAGGGGCCTACGCATTAAAATCACAAAAATCGTTTACAGAGTCCTTAAAAGGTTCCTCCAACTCTCTAATGCTCGCATGAGCTACAATTAAAAAGAAAAAGAAAAACAAACAACCTATGAGCCGAAGGATCCTTTTTCTACGATTACAAAAAAAATAACGAAAATAATACGAGATGTGAGACAATAGCACCCAAAAAAGGAAGAGCATAATGGTCCCTTTCAGCTTAGTCTTCCTGCAAAAAACCTGAAGATAATAGAAATAGAAATACCAAAAAGAGAGAGAATACCTTGCGGTCACTGACGCTCGTAACACGAAGTTTATTTTGATGCCTGCAAGGAATTCTCCAAAATACATTAAGAGAAATAAAGTATATAATAAAAGTAAAAATCCCAGTGTTATCCCTATCAGGCCACGACTTCAACATAACATTAGACATCCTAGCATTGGACATCCTAATAAAATTATGCAGACAAGCAATACACCCATTGCCGAGAGACGGAATGCTCCAGAAGAAATACAACACAGCTAAAACCATCCACCAGTCCACCCAGTGTAATAACAGGCCAAAGGATAAACCAATACTCCCAGCCAAAGTAATCCACCTAGCAAAGAAAATATACCAGAAACTCCAGCTAACCGACCTGCAAACAAACTGAGACACAACCAACTCAAATCTACAAAACCCATCGCAGCTCATGGCACCATACATAAATGAAATAATAGCCAAGAGATTAGCCTTCAAGCAGCTCCAGTGAATCCACAGCATAATAACACAATGACAAAGAACCAACCAAACATAAGTAAAACACTTTAACGGGGTACCCATAAAGCCACACCCCCAGTAGCAGTAAGAGAAGCAAACAATAACACCAGGCAACTCAAACCAACAACCCCAACCAAGCAGCCCAAACGAACAGACAGAATAAAGAGCCAAACAACAAAACCTCCAGATCCACAACCAAGAAAGCAAAATCATTTATTTCTGATATAAGGTAAACCAATCTTATCCAGATTAACCAGCCCCTTCAAATTAAGAGGCAAAGTAATCACATCAAACTGCCTTTCCTCCTCCAACCTACTACCAAGTTTAGCCAAGCAATTAGCACACACATTGCCCTCTCTAAACACATGATTAATCAAATAGTTAAGCTTAGAGAGGGCCAAACAAATATTCCTAATAATACAAAAAAATTGAGGAGAATGTATCCACATTTTTTATAATATTAATTAAACTTAAAGCATCCACCTCAATCTCAATATTAAGAAGACCTCTATTATTGCAAATGATAAGACCTTTAAGTAACCCCATCAGCTCAGCAAAAATGACTTTACACAGAGATAAAGGGCCCGCATAAGCCACAATCACTTTGCCAACATTGTCACACACAAGACCACCAAAACCAGCAAGCTGATTGTCAACAAAACCATAAGTATTAAGTTTGAAATAAGGAATAACAGGTTTAATACACCACACAATCCTTTCCCTACTCATCACAACCTCCATATGTATAGGAATACCCAGATACACACCCAAAGCATCACAGTGAATAAAATTTTTAGTAGAAAGAAGCTTGCCAGCAAATTTGAAGTAATTTATGATTAACATTGGAAATAATGCTTTTATCCTCCATCTTTCTCCCCTCATGCTTCGCCTCATTGCGAGCTTTCCAAATAAACCACAAGATAGTAATAGGGAATAAATTAAGCACATGAACTTTGGCATTAGACATCCAAATAGTTAAAAAAGACTGAATACCATTCATAGCAGTAGAATCAAAAATAGGAATAGTTTTATTAACCATCAAAGCATAATGTTTCCACACACTTTGAGCAATCTTACCCAAATGAAACACATGATTAATACACTCAATGTTAGAGTAGCATAAACATTTAGAAGGTAGATAGAAACTTTTATTCCACAGACGGGCATCCACCGGTAGATAACCTTTCATACATCTCCACGTGAGAATAGAATAGGACGAAGGAATACTATTGTGCCAAATAGAATCATAAACATTAGAAACCTCCTTCTTACACCTAAAATTCTCCCAAACCTTTTTAATATTAAAAATACCGTTAGTAGTCATGTTAAAAAGGATACGGTCATCTTCCAACGTATTTAAAGGGGTGTTCAAAACAAGATGCAGAATGCTATCAGGTAAGATTTGTCTAAGTTTATGACCATCCCATTGATTATTGTCAAAATAAAAGATCACCTTAGTATTACTAGGAGTATGAGAAGAGATCATACTATCAATAAAACATTGACAACGCCAATTATCCTGCCAAAAATAGACATCCCCTTTACCCAAACCCCATTGGATAAGAGGGTCAGCATACCAACTGATATTGCATAATCTCTTCCAAACTGAAGAGTCAGTCTTTTAAATTGGATTAAAGTGGGATGCCTCTCATTACAGCACTTAGTAAACATGAAAATAGCCCATAAACTGACTTTCGATCTAAAAGAGAACCAAAGTTTGTAAGAAAAAGCCTGCACCATATCCAGAATATTCTTACAACCTAAGCCACCTTCATTGAAAGGGCTACACATATTCTGCCAAGAAGACCAAAGAATACAAGATTTATTATTATTAGCACCCAAAAAAAACTTGTTAATTAATCTTTCCAATCTAAGGCATATGGAAGGAGACGGGTTCATAGTATCAATAATGAATAAAGCAGGGGAGAGGGGGTCACCTTGACTAGATTTAAAAAAACCATGACTTTTCCCGTTAATAATAACAGAAAAGAAGCAATGCTCAATACTATTCTTGATCAACGAAATAAACGCTTGGTTAAAACCAAATAAAAGCAGCACTTTATAAAGAAAATCCCAAGACAGGTTATCATAAGCCTTAGTAATATCCAACTTCAAAATAAAGTTCCCCCGTTTAACTTTCGTATTGATATCATGAGTAATTTCTTGGGCAAGTAAAACATTATAAAAAATGCTACGACCTTTCACAAAACCAGTCTGGTTCTGAGAAATAATTCTCGGCAGAATATTAACCAGTCTAGTAGCAAGGATTTTAGAATTAAGCTTATTAAAAAAGGAGCATAAACTAATAGGTCTAAAGTCATTCCAATTATTGGTAACAACTTTCTTGGGAATTAAAATGATGTTAGTAGTAGAGAAGAATTTCAAATACGGTTTACCCGAGAAGAAGTCAGCCACTGCCTCCAAAATATCCTCCTTAATGATGTGCCAAGTCTTAATGAAGAAATTAGTAGTAAACCCATCAGGTCCAGCAGCATAATCAATATTCATATCCTGCATAACCTTCCAAACCTCCTCCTCAGACGGAACAAGAGTAAGCTGGCAGTTATCCTCCTCAGAAATACAACTAGGAACAATATAAGGATTGTTGATGGGATTAGGAATAAAATCCCTATTGAAAATATTTTTAAAATGCTCCACACCAGAAAATAAAATAGAATCCTCATCCTCCAAAACCCTACCATCATAAGTAGAAATTTTGAAAATATGGTTCCTAATTCTTTTCTTATTAGCCAAAGCATGAAAAAAATTAGTGTTCCTATCCCCCTCAATAGTAAATTTAGTCGTAGCCTTTTGGTGCCAAAATATCTCTTCCTGTTCTTGTAACTTAAACAGGTTTATCTTAGTAACATTAAGATCAGACAGCTTATCACTATCAGGAATAAGCTGATGCCTCTGCTCCAAATCCATCACCCTTTTTTCAGCATCATGAATATTATCAAAAATATTTTTAAAAGTATGTTTGTTCCACCATCTCAAAACCTGTTTAAGCCTACTAAGTTTGCTCCAAAGTTTAGCCATACCCGAAACATTGTTACACGGGAATAAAGGAGCTTTCCAATTATTTTCAAGAACATTAAGAAAGTAATGATGCGCAAGCCACATATTTTGAAATTTAAAAGCAGTAGGAATAAACTTCTTATTAGCATTTATAGAAAGAAGTAAAGGGGCATGATCAGAAACAGTCATACTAAGATGCTCCACATTAGTCATATGGAATTTGACAATCCAATCCTGATTAAATAAGACTCAATCAAGTCTTTGCCACAAATTTTCTCTATTCCACGTATAAGCATTACCAAAGAAACCTATATCATGTAAGTCACAAGAAGAAATCATGGAATTAAAATCCTCCATCGCATTAAAATTGGGATGTTTACCTCCCAATCTCTCATTTGCATTAGCAATAACATTGAAATCACCTCCAACACACCACGGGCCCATAGAAATCAAGGCAAAATTCTTAATCTGATCCCACAAAGCAATTCTGCCCATTATAGAACAAGCAGCATAAACAAAGGAAGCATTACAATTAAAATTAAACATAGATATAGAAACGTGCACAACTTGAATAAAATCTTCCCTAATATCAACCGTGACAACATTCTTCTAGAAAATCCAAATCTTATTAGAACAATTAGCAAATTTATTAATAAAACCTAACTTAGATGCCGTATTTTCAAGTTTGGACATAGCAATCATGGGTTCAAGTAACACCAGAATTTGAATATTATGAATCCTACAAATATTTTTAACTCTAGTTTTCAAGTCCTTTCCACCAATACCTCTAACATTTCAAATAAGGGACTTAACCATGAGAACCTTTGGCATTAGTTTGTGCTCTAGTAGAGAAAGGCGTAGAGGATACAGATTCTTTATTTTTCTTCCCCTTTTTCTTATTAACTTTAGTAAATTGGTCCTTCCCAACATTATTAAGAAAGGAATCATCCACAATGACTTTTTTAGACTTAAAACCTTCTAACTCAGCAGGTAGAGAAGTACCACGTTCAAGATTTTGCATAGATTTTTCCTTCCTGTTTTTCGTGGGGATATACTCCCCTTTTTCACAATTCTCACTACTTTCCACATTTTGCACTGAATTCTCCTTCTTGTTTTCAGAAGGAATATATTCCCCTTCTTCACTAACATCGGAATCCTCATTAATGGCTAAGTTAGCTTTCGTATGAGCCAAAGCAGAATCAATAGAAATTTTTAGCATGGAATCAACAGATACAAAAAAAATTGGCATTTTCTCACTATCATTGCACAATACATTACGTTCACTATTAGCAACCACCTCCACTTCGTTTTCCTGCCCGACACAGCCATTCTCCTTCTCCACCTGGACATCCATAACATCATGAGATAAAATTTGATCTGGCACAATATTAGAGATAGAATTAACAGGACAATCAGCTATCTCAACCGTAGATTTCACAGATTTTTTTAATTTAGGATGTAATCTAAAACAATCAGACATAGCATGACCATGAATTTTGCAATGCGAACAGAAATCAGAAACCTTCTCAAACTCGATTTTTTGCATATAACCAAAAGCCTTTGAGCCAACCCAAACTTCTTTAGGATGTTTTTTCAAAATATCAACTTCCACCAGAACCCTAGCCACAGAGGGATGGGTCCTCGAAGCCGTAGCTTGGTCAGTTTGCAAAGGCCGCCCAAAAACAGAGCCAAGAGCATGTAAAACTTGGGGGTTAAAGAAATGTAACCTTAAGTTCGGAAACGAGATCCAAATCAAAACTATAAGGGATTCTTCATGAACATCAAAAAAAGGGGTCCATTTTAAAATTCTCATTTGACAATTATTTATGAAGTAAGATCTCCGAGCAAACACTCTACTATAGTCAAGATCATTAGATAACTGAATCGCTACATGTCTAGAATCCAAAAGCCCCACCGAGTAAAAACCAGTCAGTTTAAGATTAGCAAAAAATGATCTAATAGAGTCAAGATTCGGTCGATGCAAAGCGAACTTACCAACCATAGTAAACTGAAACGGACTAGCTAACTTAAGAACATCCTCATCAGAAATTAAAATAGCAGGAACACCGTTCACAACAGATTGCGTAAGTTTAGGAGCGCTATCACCTTGCATCGTGGTACTAGAAAGCACGTCTTTAAAAGATTGAGTAGGAGACTTGGTAGAATCAGCATCCAGATTGAAAAAGCCTCTGCTATTTCCATGTGACGGGCTGGTAGTCTTCCCCCAAACGTTGGATGAAGACATCCCTGCCAAACGAATGAAGCCCCAACCAGGGCAAGAAGGCCGAAAGGGCCATCAGATAGCACATGATGAGAGAAAAACGGACAGAGAAGAGAGAAAAACAGCGCTCGGAAGAAGGCCAAAGGAAACCCTAGAAATCGCCTCAGAGGCGACTACGACGAAAACTCAGAGCGCTGTGATGAACTACTTTTTATAAAGTAGATTGTAATATTGTTGTATGGTGAAAATAACTTAATTATTTTTTTGGTTATAAAAAAACAGTGAGAAAATAATAGTCAAACAAATTTATAATTGTAATATGAAAAGTAAACCATCAAAAAAGCTGTCCCAAATAAGCCTTTGTCAGCTGATCTACAGTGGGAGTAATTTTATAGGTGAAAGGAATTGTATTGGCTTGCAGTCACAAAAACCTGCACATACAAGGATGTCTAAATGTATAAGGTGTCTGTTGTTCCTAAAGAGCATGGAAATGCGACATAGTTCCTATGTCTTTATGTGATAATTTTCTTTAGTAAATTTATTACATAAAAAATGAATTTTATTCAATTACATATATATACTAAATTCCCATTCTTCTTACATTTCAACCATAGCAATATAATTAATTTATATAAAAAACAATGGATCTCCATCTCATTATATTCAAAACTACTATTATCAATGGTGACAATATATAATAATTAGCACGTTAATCCAGCACATAAATATAAATGAAGAAGTCATAATGACAGCTCATCGATTTTTGTTTTTTTTTTTCTGTTTGGTAATGTAACAATACTCTAATGATGTATGATTTAGAGTGATAAGTAATTAAAAAATAATAATAATAAATAGTGTGATGTATATGACAATATTAACATTGAGATGTTATTATATTTAAGGCAATAAAAATAGAAATGTATAGAAGATAATATTAGCTAAAATAATGATGATAATTCGGGCATATAGAACAAAACTGAGATGGACTGTCCATCATGATTCATTTTATATTAAGGGATTCCAACATAAATTTTTTTCCAATAAATTTAAAGGCTTATATTAAATAAAAAAGATATTAATAGACCGACTCTAAATAATATGGATTAAGGTACATGAATCTCTAAGATTAAAAATAAATAAGTAAAATACAAAAAAAATCAGAGTAGCTATCAATCATCATTCATAACATTGCCTATTTAAATGCAATGCCAATATATTAAATGATTATGTTTATCAGATAAAATTAAAATCATAATAATGTTATTATCTATCTAATATTGCTAAGTAATAAGATAACTTTAAAAAGTAAGAGCTTTTTAATTAATTTCCCTAATCTTTTAAACTAACAAAGTGCTATTATTTCTAAAGTAGCAATAGTTTCTATATAATTTATGAAAGTCTGAGGTTTTATTTGGGATAGCTTTTTATTACTTTTTAAAATAATTTTTAAGTATAAAAATGTTTTATTTAAAAAAAAATTGTACTAAAAAATTGCTTTAAGAAGCAATAAGAAAGCAGTTCCAAATGAAGCCTGAGATTTCATTTGTTTCACTTTTAATTCCATATTAATTTTATGAGCAAAAAAAGTGGGCAACAATGAAACTATTCTTAGGCTTCATTTGTGACAACTTTGTTACTGTTTTTTAAATCAATTTTTTAGTACTAAAATTTTGAAATAAAAAATAATCTTCTAAAAATTTACTTTAAAAAGTAGTAAGAAAGCAGTCTCAAATAAAACCTTAGTATAAAAAAGGGGATTTACATAAATACCACACAATTCTTAGTTATTTATGTCTCAACTATTTAATATTTACTAATTATACATTATCTAACTATTTAAATTACATTAACAGTATTACAAATATTAATTTTTTAAAATAAAATACATATTTTTGTCAATATATTTTGATGCGATCAAGATATTAAATTATTATATAAGTAAACATCAAAATCTATATATTAGATATATAAATTTATAAAAATTATATGATATGCATGCAAATCTCTCAAAATAATGTATACATCATATATTAAACAATAAACTTCACGTGTAAAACAAGCCAATCAAGAAATAAGATAACCTATACATGTAAGACAAGACTTAGACAATTTTTTTTTTTTTTCTAATGGGTGCCATATTCAATTTAAATGCACCAAGTTCTTCGAACGTTCTTGCATACATATTATTTGATTTGATGATAACCAATCTTATGTGATGTATTCTAATATGTTTATTAAGCATTGAAATGTGCATTAAATCAAGAATTTAGATTTTATTTGGGAAGGCTTTATTATTGCTTCTTAAAATAGAATTATAGTATAAAATTTTTACTAAGCCGGTCCAAACGGAGCCTTAGCTTAACATATGAGTACAAATTTTGGATTCGTGCTTCTTAAAGCGCAAACTTATAATTAAGTAAAAGTGTAGAGTTCGCAGATATGCCAGGGGTCTAAGGAGGCAGCGCACCCTGACGGGATTCGACCTAACAATAACACATCTACACAATTTTTGGATTCTATTTACTATTTATTTTTGTATTTGGTTCATTATTCTCTAATAATAACACATCTACATAACGTGCTTAATTATACTGGGGGCAATTGCCAAAAGACTATAGTATTTTAAAACTTTTAAAGAGGGCAATTGCCTAAAAAATATTGTCATAAAGATTAAAAAATAAATGACGGGGGACATTAACCTACCTAAAATATCATATAATAAAAAAAATTATTTTTTTAGTGGGGGCAATTAGCTCCCGTGGGCTTTAAGTAGATCCGCCCCTGATTATATATTATAAAATGAATTAAATAGCTGAAAAATTGTCTCCATAATACAAATATTTTGGACGTCATACAATATCTAAAGAATTGACCTTTGCCATGCAGAGATTTCTGGTAGGATTTGCACTCAGAAAATGCTGGCGAGTACGACAAATTATAAGAGTAGATGAAGAGAAAAAAACAAATAATGTAAGCCCTAATGACTAACTTGTTTTTATGGAAAAATGAATATTATTTCATACCATTATAATTCATCAACGTTATACACATTAATGGAATTAAACTATGTAAAAGACGACAGGTAGCCTACTCATCATAGAATATCACATCGGTTGATTAATGTGATGAAGGAGAAGGAAAAGGTCAAATTAATATATAATTTTTTTATTTAAATTATTTATTCATTTTTGTAAGATTTGTAAGGAAATTGTAGTTTATTTTATAGGTAATAATAAAAAAAATGTTATAACAATTATTACAGCATTGCATAGAGAAGTTTCTTAAGAAAATTATTATTTTTGTTATAATTTTGACTAATTTAAATCTAAATTTGACCTTTGATAATCTGTGATTAATATGATTAATATTAAATTTTTAAATACACATATAAGAGTTTAAAAATTATGAGCAGGGTGTTCAATTATGGGCAAGGTCGGAATCAGCCTGCTTTGAGGGTGGACAAAATATGATTAGAGAATGTATAACTTTAAAGCTGAAATATATAAAAAAAATTTCTAAGAATTTTCACAAATGTATTTATTGAAGATGAATTAAACAGTTAAAATATTTATTAATCTACAATGAAAAAAAATATTTCATTATAGTCAATCGTAAACCTAATACCATTCTATGTCCACCCCTAAATGCAGAGTTGTGACAATTCTAAATTTTTTCCCAAACAAGATGCCATCAATTCTCATGTAATATATTTATAATCATGGCATATGCCATGTACAGTCATAGTGGTGCATACGCCCCCGACGCTTGCCTGCTCTGCTCCGCTAGGGCTTTGCCCTAGCTTTCCTTGGGCTTGGATCTTGGGTTCTCCTCCGGTGATTCTCCTGCCGCTTCCTGCTGGAGTCTCTAGGGAAGTTTTCCCTTGTCTTGTTCCTTCTTTTCTGCTTACTGGTTGTTTATTTTCCTCATACGGCCGGCTGTGGCCGGAATGACAATTAGTCGTGTTTGTGACCTGGGCTTTTTGGATGGGTCCTTTAAATCGTGTTCTTTTGTGGATGCTCTTTCTGGATCTTCGATTTAAGTTCGTTTTCCTGAGCTACGACAGTGTTCTTGTCGTGGTTTGCCCTCTTTGTGGATTTCGGAGGAAGAAATTCTGGCTCTGTCTGTTCCGTTTCAATTTCCTCTTGTTGGTTTTTTTCCTACACGTCGTCCCTCACTAGATGCCATCTGAAATTTTTTTTTTTCAATTTGAAGCTGAATGCTGAATTCTCTTTAACTGTTCTTGATCAATCTCATATTCTAATTAAGCTTTCAAATGACTTAGATTATAGTAGAGTTTTTTGTCATAGATCCTATTTGGTGAATAACTGTTTTTTGAAACTCACTAAATGGTCGCCAGTTCTTAATGTCGGAGTCGAATATCCGGTTATTCCAATATGGATTTCCTTTCCAAATCTGCGACCGCATCTTTTTGCCCCTCGTATCCTCCATGCTTTGGCTTCTATGTTTGGCCGTCCCTTAAAAGTTGACAATTCAACCTCTGTCAGGTCTAGGCCATTAGTGGCGCGGGTCCTGGTGGAGCTAGACATTACTAAGGAGTTTCCTGATAAAATTTGGCTTGGTCTGAAGAATTATGGGTATGTTCAACGGGTTATGTTGGAGGATTTGTCTGCTTACTGTGTGTTGTGCAAACGACTTGGTCATTCTAGGGGAGAGTGTGGTAGTCTTCTTGCCACTTTGAATGGTCCTCAATCTCGTTTGAATGCGGTTTTGCCTGTTGCTAATGCGAAAAGTGGTGCTATTGTCAATTCGTTGTTGGTCGTTAATGAGGAGCAGATTGCGGAGGGTCCTTGTGACCTTCCTGTTTCTGATAATGTGGGACGGTGGCTCCCTGTGGGTGGAGCTTCTGTGATTGAGGACTCTATGGTTGCTCTTAACTCGTCCGATAATATACCCCCAATGTATGTTGTTAATTTGGTGAATGTTGTGTCCGGTGATCAAGTAGGTAATCTTATGGGTGCTGCAACTGTTTTATCCCCTGATGCCTTACCCTTTGTCCCACCTGT